CAGGGAACCATCTGATCTAAGCCCAGGCACGTATCCCTTTCAGGCATTTAGCGCTCCAAACGGGCACAGAGAGACCAGGGCTTCACCCCACCTCCCACGCTGACGAGTGCTTACTGTTAAAATCCCGTTCCTCTTTCTTTTTCAGACTCATTGGTGGCATTCCATGTGGGATTCTCAGAAGGAAAGGATAAAGAAAAAACTCTGAGGTTTAATGAAACTTACCTCAATTATGGAAACAGCTATTTCCCTGAACATGGCTACTTTAAAGCACCGCACAAAGGTGTCTACCTGTTTGTCGTCTCTGTGGAGTTTAGTTCAGGACCAGCATTGGGACAACTCTCCTTCAGCCGTGGGTACAAGAGAACTCTCTCGAGTAGTCAGAGGAAAACACCAAATGGAAACACCATGACTACTTTTGCCGTGGCAGAAATGGAGAAGGGGGAGAAAGTATGCTTCGAATTGCTGCAGGGCTCTATAGTGACACGGAGTCCGCCTGGGACAACAATGGGTGGATTCCTAATATTTAAAACTTGAATAGTGACATTTTGGGTTTTATTGGTATCTTTCCATAGATGCAATGGATCAATTCACTATTGCTTCATCTGTGATGTATCCAACCCTACTGCATGTGTTTAAACATAGCACTACCCTAGATTTGCCTTCATGCTTCGTTTCTGGAAGTGTTTGGCTTTCGATTGGTTGCATATGAGCAGCAATGGGATTTTCTTTCAAGTCACAAGCTAATGGTTTGGACTCCAAATGCATCAGCACACACATTCCCAAATCCTTCCACTGTGAGAATTGCACCCAATTAGAAAAGTATTTTGTGGGAATTCCTTCACATGTAACACAAATAATTTCTCCTTTCCCCTGGCAAGAGAGCATCCTCCCATGACAAACATCCCCACCACTGGCAAGGAAAAGATTTTAGGAAGGACCATACCTATCAGCTCTCATATTCTGTGAAGAGTAGCTTAAAAACAAGAAGCTGGGACGATTTTACCTTGTAGTTCTCTGTGGACCAGAGACAGTCACAGACTGTCTCGGAAACTTCTGCAACTCACTCTGATGTTTCAGTCTGTGCCCAGCATGAATACCGGCAGAGATAGATCACACCCAGTACGATGTACCGTTAGTATTTCTGAGCAAGGATCTTAGAAACGGCCCAAGTCTTTCTGTTTCTGGGCCTGCCTTGTATTTCAACTACGCTGCAAAAATACAGTAATAATACAGAATTGTTATGATGAATTACATTTACATGTAGACAATAGGAAAATGTCAACAATATTCAAAAAAATACTGGTGAAAATGCAGTTTATTTCTTAAGATAATCCTGAAGAATATAATGAATTCAGCCCAGAGTTCAGCATTTAATAAACAGTTTAGAACCAAGCAAGCAAATGAAACTAACAGCAAAAAACCAAGCTCACTGGTCTGCTGTCATTGTTGAATATAAAATAAATTTATAATTAGAGTAAACCAAAAAGTATAATTTCTGAACTGTGGAATTTTTTTTTTCATTTCCAAAAATCTCAAGATGACGACGTTTGGTCACATCCTAAGCTTTTCTTCCGTCAAATAAAATATCCTAAAGGCTTTCATTTGAGAAAAGTTCAATTACTGTGGTATTTTTCCTCGTCTACCCAATGTCTTACAAAACAATATTAAAACAATCACATTTGCCAAAATGAAATGCATTTAGGAATTCCAGTATTTGTGATGAAAGAGGTAAATTCTTTTTATGTATTTTATGCACTTTTAAGGTTGCATTTTCTAATGGAATTCTATCCTGCTGTTAAGGGGTTTTCTCCCCACCTACCTGTATGCGAATCAACATTAAACCACAAACTTTTTTAAAAAAAACCCACATCGGTACCAATACACACCGCACTTCAGACAGCAGTTTGACGAGCAGACAATATGTATCTTTTGAAATAAGGCTACAAAGCAGTTCCAGCTCCTGACTTGCTGAGAAGATTGTTATTCTCCATCCTGAAAATTCCAACAAAGCAAACAACTGAAAATGATCTCCCATCTCCTCCTGGCCAGCGCTCAGACGTGTCACCGGACACGGCTGTTTCAGTTCCTACGCACTGATGCAAATTCATCAGTAACACATTTTTATAGAGAGATAAAAAATAATCACACATAAATAATACAATTTCGATAATTATTATTGGCAGGCAATAGAACTTATTTTCAGTTAGCAAAAGCATTTTTACAACAGGATCTTTCTATCTTTAGGATATAGCACCATCCTGTGGTCATTTTAAGCAGCAACGTTATGGGGAAAAAAGTGCTTGCCTAAACAAAGACTGGTGCAAAAAGTTGCCCCCACTATTTTCATTATGTCCTTCTGTGATGCTAACATAAAAATCCCAGCTGTCACACCAATCATGGCCAGTGCAATTAGTGAAGATATTCCACCAACTACACAATAGCCACAACCATGAGAGAAAGTCTGCTTTGCCAAGACTGTAATCGTAAGGCCAAATCTTTGTGCAGTGTAATTTCCTGGTTTTATGTATTAGAGACAAAAAGGTTTGAAACTACATACAGTCTAGTCTTCCACTGTACTTTCCAGAACTCTATTGCAAGAATTTAACACCTGACTTTAGAGGGGGGGAAAAAAAAAGTGTTATAATTATCTTTATAACATACTGATAGTGTATATGATGCTCAGATAATCAAAATTTTCAGCTACTGTAAAAAACAATCTTTAAAGCTGAAAATATTCCCAATCAAAGGCAAAAAGAGAACAGAAATTAATCATGCTTCTTCCTGCTTATAAACTAAAAGTGAACTCTATGGAGACTAGTAGCCAATACATTTCCGAAATGAGAAAATAAATTCTGAGGTTTTATAGAATTGTGTACTCACAGCTGAGATATCCCTTTTCTTGATCTTCATTTGCTTGAATCACAAAAAACAGAGTGAATTTAGCAGGCTATGCAGAAGCACCTGCATAATTTTGTAACCAAGAGCACATAAGTACGTTAGTTCAAATCTCTTAATCTGGGTATCACTACACAAAAATAATGTTGTGCACAGAGGAACAAAGAACAATTACAGAACCCCCATCCCGTTATTTTTTCTCTTTTTACCTGATGAGCTTGAGGCAAATGTATATGGATAAAACCAACATGCGGTGAACTTGCGTATGTTCAAATAAAATAATTATTCAGTTTTGACTTGCTCCTGGCTTTGCTATAAGACAGGGATAAAAATCAGGAGGAAGAAACATGGGTTTTACTGTTGTGCCCAAATTTAGTCCAAGAGACGCAGAGCCTGAATTTATAGAGCATCAAATAATTCTGAACACCACTGAACAATAAAACGGATCATTAATAACTTATTCAAAGACTGCGGGAAAGAAAAAAAACGTAAGCGAGGTATTAAAAAGTAGGGAATTATTTAGTTACAGTATTATGATTTCCAAGTCATTACATTAAGGCAAAAATCTTATAGTAACAAAACACATTACTAATGTGTACTAAAATAAGGTTATTTACTTAAAAATGATACATTGGACATAATCTGTGTACAGAACAAGCAATTCATGGTAAACTCAATAAGGCACCTTCTAAAGCAGATGCTGTACAAAATACATCAGTGTGTTACATTTTCAAAGGAGTATTCTACACTTCTGGCATATAACACACACAAGAGTGTGACCATTTGTCTCGTTCCACTCTCCACTCATATTTTATTTACATCTTCTCTAGGTTAACTACAATGTTATTTATTCTTCTTGTATACAATATAGTACAGTTCATTTTGGGCACGGCATGTCAGAGCACAAACGTCACTACATGATGTGGGCTTCTAGGATTGCATTCAGTGGTAAAATATCACAAAGCAACGATTACATCAGATTTGTTCAAAAATGAGAAGTAACGTGCACTCCGCTTCTGCCATACCCACCAAGGGTAACACACCACGATTCCAGAGAGCGCTGGATCGCTGCCAGTCACGTTCAGACATCACCCCTCTTTGGAACAACGACTGTGGGCACCGAACAAAGGCTTCTGACTTCAGAGGCACTGTCAGAAGGATGAGGAAGCGCTAACCCACTGTAATATTTGACAGAAGATGAGTGCGTTTACCTTCCCTTTAAAAATATCTGCAATAGCCAAAGAATGCCTTTAAACTCAGAATTTTGGCTTTTCAAACATTTTCGACCATTCAAATATAGTCTGTGAAGACAGAGTAGATTAAATGTATTCAGATGATTCGTTTTACAAACACATTCAAACGGTCATTTAGATCAAGATCTAAAATTTGATACTAGACTATTGTGCAGGTAACTTCAATATGAATTTTACATTTTATTCAATACCTCAAAATAGACCAATTAAAAAAATAATTTGGAAAAAGTGATGGATATTGGGAAAACTGTCAGCTTACTGAGTAAAACTCAGGAAAAATTACATACTGAGTGGAACTTGGAATAAACTCAAAATGTAAGCCTCCATTTTTCTGTAGGAATACCATATTTCTTGTGGAATTTACAAGTTAACCAAGAACACAAAACTTTCATTTCCACTGCTGTAACAGTAAGAATTATAGAAGTGACTCAAATTATTTTTCACCTAAGGGAAATCACATGGAGCAGGTTAAATAAAATAAAAAAACCCAAAACCCTCTACATGTGAGTGTTTAAGAACTTCCAAGGCACAGTCTTGATACCCCCCCAATATATTTTCCTCACTTTTGATTTTTATATTTAAAAAAAAAATTACAATTCCCCATTTTGTAGGGTTTTTTTTTTTTTTTGATGACAAATACTTAAAATTTTGGCCAACAAAATAAGATTAATCACACTCCAACAGAAGAATGCTATTACCCTCCCTGACCTTAAAGGCTTCTGAACTCTACAGTATTGCATAAAGCAACAATTTAGCTTTAGAGTCTGCACTAAGTATGCTTCATGATGTAAAAATCAATGGGCTAGCTTTGAGCAGAGTTTGTTTGTGTTTTTGTTGTTTTTTTGGTTCCCCTCCCAATGATTGTTAAAACACCAGTATAGACATACTTAGGCTCCACAGTTAATGACTTTGCACGGAATGGAGATATGAGCTCATGTGCTTTATGCAACCAGATCCTTCAGGGGTAACATTTTTTGAAATATCACGCAATCAAGGAATGCTAAAGACCTAGCAGCTCCTGTTCAGGTCAGTGACAACTGCATATGCTGATATGTCTGAGTACAAACCTAGTAAGCAAAGTGCTGAAAAATTAAGGTTAAGCTTAAGGCAAAAAGATTTTTTTCCTCTCAAAGATCATCCTTGCAGCAGTCAACTAAATTCTGCGTTAAAGTAAATGTGTAAATCAGTTTAGATCTTAAGACATCTACCAAAGATCACCATCCTATTGCCTTGCAAATGCCTAAACAATGGAGAAGAAAATAAGTGAATAATTACAAATTATCGAAACTTAGACTTCCAACAGCAGCTTCCTCAAGACTTGGGAAAAAGGTATTAAAAAATTCACAAAACCAGTTTATAGCTAATAATGCTCTGACAACTTCTAAAAGAAATAATAAAAAAAATCTAATAGTTATGGGTTAATTTAAATAGACCTCCCTGCTCTGAAAATGTAAGCTAGCAGGGTACCTACATAAACATTTTTCCTTCTTATTGATAAAAATCCTAGAGCAGGAAAAAACCCAAAACTTATCCCTTTACTTTTTTTTGGCTCATGCCAAATATTTTCCAACTACTTGTGCAAAAATTATGCGCAAAGACATGATTAACCATTTCAAACTCATCATATATTTCTTGGCAATGGACGGAGAAACATTTTTTTTTAAAAAAAAGCCCTTTATCATGAGGATTGTGGCACAATAGCATGTATCTCTTGATGTTTTCAAATAAGTTATAACCATAGTTGACACACCTATGAACTTCTCAGCCAGAGTACATATTAATACTTAAAGGCATTACTGAACAAAAGTAATGACTTTATTTAAAAAAAAAAAAAAGAAATGTCCCTCGAAATAGCTAGTTTTCTATAAAATACGTAGAACTGTTAAATAAAGTCTGTACATCACAATAGAAAATAAAAATACTGCAATCTTTTGCCTGACCATTTACATTATGTGAACTACAGAATTCGAACAAAAAACCCCAACATGTTAGAAGATTGTAATTGTTCACAAATCACATTAGTCCTGCATTACATTGTTTTCTATCAGTTGTATTTTCAAGGGAAATTTAAACACATATCAAAACAATCTCCATGTACATAGTTTAAGACAACAAATAATCTGGCATAAATCAATCTGAAGTTTTAACATTTTTTCCATCAATTTTAATATTATTCCTAACTTCTTTCGTCAAATCTCAACTATGGCGTAAGTGTGTGTGCATGTATCTAATCGTACACATATACCTAGGACTAGGCGTTTGGGTTTTTTTAACTCAAGCACAAACCACACTGTATAAATAACTTCCCTTTTTAAAGTTATCTAGAACAAGATTTACAGTACAAAGTTATAGGCACTTAAATTATCGAATAGATTCAATGGTTCCAATACTGTGTGTTCATTCTTCAGATAATTCATGCATTTGAAGCTTCAACTTGAGTTATGGTACTATTTTCTAACTTCAAAGCAGAAGTGCCAAAGGAGTTATAAATCAGTAATTCTGCCTTACAGTAACCTCACGGAAGGGTTCTGGCTTTTAACCAGCTTGTCAGTGAAGAAAAGGAGGGAACTACACAGTTTCCTGTGCATGCCAAACAGTTGGCACAAGACGACCAAATTTTGCAGTGATGTTAACTTTTATCTTCATGGATTATCTTTCAGTGCCATTCCTCACAAATGTGCTTAACTAGAACTTAACTCACCCATTGATTTACCTTGTCCCAAAGGCTGACTGTTGTCAGTTAAGTGGCCCAGAGATCCAGCCTCCTGCTTTTACATCAGGGCATCCCCGTTCAGAAGCTTCTGCACCCTGCGGATCTTACCGTCAACAGTTCACATGTTCAGTTCTTCTGGTCTTGACCTTTACTATGTTCTCTAATCTTCCGAGTGCTTGGCCTGTGCATCCTGCCTTCCCTCTTTTGTGTCTGTAAATTATAGACTTGTTCTCAAGTCTTTCAAAACTCAACTTCTGCCTAGTTTTGTCAGATGACGAAAAAGCACGCTCCTACAGCTGACTGATTCCCTCCTGTGTGGAAGAAAATTCAGAGCATGACAGGCACCTAGTAGTGAGTCTCAATAAAGTAGAAAGGCAAAACACATCCTGAATGGTCTTTCTGTTCAGATGCAAATTATTCTACAGCAAAACTGCTTGTTGCATGTGGCACTGAAAAATGCACCAGATTTCGTAGTCACGCAATTATAGAGCCCACCAGACTGTAAATGAGATGACCAAGGCAGCCTACACCTCTGGGAGAGACTGTTTCAAGCTCTCTACAGACTTAGGTGAGCATTCCTTAATTTATTAAGGGTTCACATTCTTGCAATTCTCCTCCTTGTGACCAAAACAAGAATAGAAATAAACTTAAACCCGAGATCTTTGGAGGATAACTTAATGGCAAGGAATAAATTCTGTAGCAAAACTCTGATTGTGGAGCCACAAAATGCACGGAGCCCTGACCATAAAACTTTGTTCATTTAAACGGTTTCTTATCTATTCCAAATGACAGCAAAATAATCCTGGCACACACATCAAGGCATAAGGAACTGTTAAACCGAGTAGTATCACAAACAGATTCATAACCTACAGGCTGTTTCACAAAAACTTGGTATGGATTGACTAGGTTTTATCAGGTAGAAGGCAAAGAAAAAGCTTATATTCTCCATCTCTGTTGAATCCATATAGCTTGTTAGGCTTTCACAGAAAGCACTGTAATCTGAACATTCAATTCAGTACCCAGAGTTTTACTGGAGACTCACTAAGTATGACTGAAGTCTCAATGCAGCTCAAACAAAACCAAACCGTGTATTTTAATCAAGGCTGTCCGTACGTAGCATGTAGTGTACAGAGGCTCTCAGCATCACAGTCTATGAAGTACTGAAAGGTTTGATTAGCAGCCTGTAGAAGTGTGCTGAGAAAATATACTGAATCTCAGTTATTTCCTCTTTCCACATAGGTCTCACCCACGTTTGAGTGAAAAGGAGTCCAGCTTTGCTCTCCAATGTCAATTTACTATGTCAAATCTTTACATCTTGTGATTCCACCATCTTGGCAAGTGTCTTCTTGATCCTCAAGGCAGTGAGCCTTGAAGCAGGGTTATGAGCCCAGCATTCGGACATTAATTTCAATATTGCTCTTAAACACTGTGAAAAGAAAAACCAGAGTAACACTATTGTAACGACTGACAGGCCTGAGGTGTATAATTTTGCTTCGTTGTCAATCCCAAATTATAGAACAATTACAGTCCAAATGTGCCAACTTGCACATTTTCTGCAAAACTGCTGATAGAGAATTATTATAAACAGATCAACTAAAAAAAAAAAATCCACCCAACCCAACCACCACATCCCAACCCTTCTTTTTCTGCCCTTTCACTGCCTGTATGACAGCAGCTGGAACTAACCCAAGTGTTTCTTTAGTTTCACAAAGGTGCATTACCAGAACTTGGTGGTACAACTCAAGAAGAGCAGTACAAAAAAGGCAGCAATAAGCAGGAAAATCTCCTTATGTATGGCAGAAAATGAAGATGTGACAAAAGTTCTTTCAGCAGTCAGAAAATATGGAAAAAAAAAAAGGGAATTCCTAAAAGAAATCAAGGATTTGGGGAAAAAAAGTATATGGCATATCTAGCTTGCTACATGGAATAGTTACATCTTATTTACTGTGTTCAAGCTGTGGCCCTTTAAAAACACATTTAAATTTAGTATTTTAGTTACATCACGGCTTGCCCTGGAATATACCAATAAAAAAAGAAGAAAAAAACCCCTAAAACCACAAAGAAATCGCTTCATACTCCATGAAATACTTTATGCCACAAACCAATATGCTATGTACGTTAAAACTAATAAAACCAATTAAAAACTCATTTTAGTTCAAATCAAAACTCTGAAAATTGTCCACTATCTAAAAGTAAGATCTCAGTCAGAGCTGTATTCATACACTTGGATGCTGCTTGAGAGTATCTTCCCCTCAGACCACTGAAAAGATATATAAAAAATTAAGGTATTTTGATTTGATTTCAAACATCTCTTCCTCATAACTGTTGCTGTGAGGTCTTAAAAATATCAGAATGTCTGAATGCAGTCCCTATTTTACCGTGGTTTAATATTTATTAAACTAAAATACCCTTCCATATTAATGAACAGAGGGAACTGTTGTTTCCTCCGGCATACTCACTTCATCACTATTCCATCTATTTGATACGACTGGGCGCAGGCGTTTGACACACACCACTTCTCGCATGTCCTCGTAGGATGGATCGTTTGGCACCATGTCATAATATGGCAACTGATACTCTTCAACAATACCTGGAGATAGTTGTGAAAGATCAAGAACCATTAAAAAAAAACAAAGCTATATACCTACTCTTAGATTTCCTTAGCCAGGAGCAAAAATTAACTCCATTGTGTGCCAAGGCAAAGCCCCCACACTGTTACGCTGTGATAAAAATCCCAAAATTTCACTATAATAAGCAGACATTTGCCAGAAAAGCTCCAATATTATGAATATTAAATGTAATAGTTACAATAACTCCTTGCAGCCCCTTTCACTGATACCCAATGTAGAATTTGACATCTTCTAATCCACTACATGCTACAAAGAAACAGGGAGAAAGCATAAGCTGGAAGAGAATACAAGTAAAGATCTCTAAGGTCACAAAAGAAGAGTGAAATAAAAGGCAGGTCGAGTCACAAAAATATGTGTAAAGAGAAAACTGAATGAAACCAGAAATGCAAGAAACTGTAACAAAAGAATAATCTCTTATCAATTACATTTTAGAAGTTTTATTAACTGCAGAGGGGTGAAATACATCTGCATCCCACTATTTCTCCCAGACCAGACACTCTGCTTTTTGATCAAGTTAAAAAAAAAAGCCCGAGATGCTTAATTGGAACAGTGAAAAAGGTTTAGTTCAGTGATTTTCAAGCTGTACTCTAGACAGACTGTTACTACTGCTTTTAAAGAACACAAGCCTGTTGATATAGCAGGCTTGTTATATTATTTCCTGGAGAAGTATTGTTGAAGTGAGCCTGGTAGATTCTATACAGAATATTTTAGAAGTTTACCTCCTGTGACGCAGCGCCGAGCCATCTCCCAAATGATCAGCCCAAAACTGTAGATGTCAGCCATGATGTATGGCTGGAAATGGTTTTTATTCAGGCTTTCATCTAGGACCTCTGGAGCCATGTAACGTTTTGTTCCCACTCTAGTATTCAAGGGAACATCAACTTCGTTTGTGTCACTGTATGAAAAGATTAGGAAATTAGTGAACTGTGTACTGTTACAAGACATGGTATGAAATCCTGTATGATGCAGTCACTACACTCCAAAGCTCCCATTTACAAATTAAACTCTTTTCTTCTCAATATTACACTTACACTACATTGTACCTCCCTGAAAAAGATTATCTAGAAAAATGATAGTACGGAAGCTGACAGTTTACTGCTGCTTTTGCAAGGCATTAAAAGAATTATGAAACAAAATGAATTCAAACCACTATACAGTTGAGTACATTTGGTAACAGCTCTGAAAACTATTCGCAAAGGCTTACGCTTTCTTTCAGGCTTTACTGTAGCAAAAGACAATTCTCTGTCTCCATTTCAGTTAAAAAAAAGGATTCAATAATATTATTATAGTATTAGTTCAATTAAATTTCAACTCCCTTTACACTGTTCAAATGTTCTACGAGATAAATTATAACAAAACTACATGACAGCAATTACTATGAAAGGCAAGTTTTGAATAATGAATGAATTAGTCTCCTCTCCCTTTCCTCTACAGATCTACTTCTATTTTCCACAAGAAAAGTCTTTTATTTGTTCCCTTATTTTCATCTCAGTGCTCACCAGCATTCAAAGGAAGAACAGCATTTTACTCTCAACACTGAAAGCATGTAACCAAATGATTCCATCCTCCTTCTGAATTGGGTATCTGGCGTATTAAAAAAAATTATATACAAGTTTTACTGCTACAGAGGATTTGTTCACCTACCTGTTAAACTTGACTGCAAGACCCAAGTCAGCAATGCAGCAGGTTCCATTTTTCTTTATCAAGATGTTTTTACTCTTCAGGTCCCTGTGTGCAATAGCAGGCTTGCCTTGTGTCCCATAAATCTCTGTGTGTAGATGGCACAGGCCACACGCAGCAGAATACGCCAGTTTGAGGAGAGCCCTGTTGTCCAGCGTAGTGCATTTCAGGAAATCATATAATGATCCATTTTCATGATAATCTGTAATCAAGTAAAGCTGCGTCCAGGAGCCAGTGCCTTTAATATCTGCAGCTATGAACCCTATGAAAAGTGTAAACAAAGTTACAATTTATTTTTGTATGATTTTTTATGCAACAGATTTAGTAAGAGTTCCTAAAGCTACACTGTCTTGGACTGTATCTACAGATATCTGTTCCCCTTACGAAAACTAATAATGTAAAATCTCAGATTTCAAGTATACATGAGGTTCCCACTCCAGTCTCCCAGCAAAGGGATTGCAGACATGTTTCCAACCAAGAGCAGCAAGACTCGCCCCTTTCAGTCACATTTTATGGGGTATGTTAAGGGACACTCATCTTGTTATTCCACAGAAGCCGCTATACATCCTTCAAGCGACCCACTAAGAACTCCTCCTCCTACACCCTCACACAAGCCCTCCAGTAGCCAACAAAGTTCTGCTTCCTTACCAAGGATGTTTTCATGGCGCATTAGAACAGTTTGGTAAATCTCTGTTTCTCGGAACCAGCTGGCTTCTTCTGTGGTGAAGAACACTTTCACTGCGACTTTTTCACCCCTCCATTTGCCCATCCACACTTCACCATATCGTCCTTTTCCAACTTGCCTCACCATCTGAATTTGTTTGGCAATAGTACGCTGAACCTAGGGAAGAAGAAAAAAATTTAAAAAATGATGAGTGGGAGATAAAGGAAGGAAATCCAGTGATGAACTGAAAGTACCTGGACAAGCTGCTTCTCAAGCTTGGATTGCTGTGAATTTTGATCCCACTACAAAATTTGTTCTATATTACTTTTCACTATTCCCATTTCAAACTCATTATTGCGGCCTCCAAGGAAGAATTTGTATAACAAACCCCAAAAGATTAAATCAGCTCAACTTCTTATTTAATTCAGATGTGTTATCTCCCAAGATATTTGTTTCTATTTTATATATAATTACAGTCATCTGTCTCACTGGCTCATTTTTATGCAGGTATCATACAGGATGTTAAATCAAAAATTATGAAAAACTATCAGCCAGTAAAAGCAAATCTATTTTATCAGACAGTGGACACTAATAAAAAAAAAAAATATCTTTGAGTTTGCTCAATTTGATACTTGTATTATCCATATATTTAATGTCTGCAGGCTCTAATTTTTCTTTAAATTTTGCTGATGCCAACAGACTTCCTAACATAATCTAATTTTGCCCTTCATTTTAGTTAACTATGTGAAGATGGGTTTTGTACGTTTAGTTTGTATTGCATCCTCCATAGTAATTGCATATAGAATAATTAACATCCTCGATGGATGAAGTGCTTTGTTCTAGGCATTAGGTACAAATTAAATTTGGTATCTGATGGAGAGAAGTTCAGTGGAGAAAAATCTCAATTTATGATTTACCAACAACGGCAGTCCTGATCCACTCCCAGAACTCTGTGACTGGTCAATAAGATCTTTTAAGGACTCCCCAGCTGGAATAAATGCTTCATCTTGTTCCAGGTCACGATTATAACAGTGCCTCTTTGCCATCGATTTACAGTAATGCCTGCAAAAGTAACAGAAGTTAAGCTGAAGTCCAAAACATGCTTCAAAATATGTAGTCAATTTTGCTGGGAAAAAAGGTATTTAAGTGTACAAGGTTTCTTAAAAGGAAAAAAAAAAAAACCCCAACAGATTTAACTACCATTTTTTTTCAGACACGTAACCTACATAGTTTATTATTATTAAGAAGTTGTAATGCAGGTAGAGGCATGTCAGATTATTATGAGTCAGGCAGAAAAGCCGCATTTTTAATACTCAGCTCACAGCCGGCGTTACCAGCACAACACCCCTGGTTCTGGTTTAAACTAAGGGACTGACCCTTGAACCAGGGCAGAGCAGGCTGACACACGGACATTTCATTTAGAACAGCGATCACCTCAGCACGGGGCTGGGGCTGGCAGCAGCAGCACAGTCTCTTCAACTGCACCTGCACGAATTGCCATAGCTCAGACAGTCAAGGATATAGTTTTGAAACGCATCAGGAAAAGGAAAAGTTAAAAAGTAAAACACATCCTTGTCATTTTAGGTGTGCAAAAGCACTTTACAAAGGTAAATCTCAGAAGTAGATGGAACTTAAGTATCAAAAGCGATTGAAGATCCATAAATATAGAAAGTATTACAATGTTCTTATTTACTGGATGCTATAGCATCAAAGTTATGTGTAGCTTAGAAAACTCTAAACACTTCATAGACAGAGAAAAGGATCAAATTCACTTAAATTGTGTGCTGTGAACATTTCATTTTATCTAGCAATGCAACCTGCTATCTGCAGACGTGAAATTAAATTACTACGGTGTCACTTCCAATCTATTCCTGTCAGAATTACGTATGATCTGAGTACTTTTACAAAATAAGTGCTCTGTTTACATTCATTCAGGAAATTTAGTGTTGAGAATAAAGAAATTGCTTTCCTTACTTGTAACAAAAGCAGCTAAATAAGATGATCATGACAATTATGCAGACTGCCATAGAAATCAACACTGCCATCCAACGAATGCTGCCATCAAAAAGTCCATCTATTAAAAGAAAAAAAAAAAAGGAAAGTTTCCAAAGTCTGTTGAACAAACATCTATTGTGAACAGTTTATTTAAGTGTATTTTCATATACTGTGTATATGAACGTGCACAAACTGTAACAGGAGGTTTTGTCTGAACGTCAAGAAATCCTTCTTCACTGTGATCGAGCACTGGCACACGTTGCCCAAGGAGGCTCTGAAGTCTCTCTTCTTGGAGATACTCAAAAGCCATCTGGACACAGACCCGTGTACCTGGCTCTAGGCGGTGCTGCTTGAGCAGGGGCGTTGGACCAGCTGATCTCCAGAGGTCCCGTCCAACCCTCCACCACTCTGTGATTCTGTGACAGAATGTGGAGTCACTTGTACAAGGTCAGGAAGGAGGAAGACAGCTGATGCACATAACATACCAATGCATGGGAAATCCCACAAAATTTATAGTGTTTTAGTACCAAAGTAAGTATTCACACCAGAAAAACAGAGATAATTTCATGTGGATGACAAGAAAAAAAAAACCCAACATTTTGGAGTTGTTGGTTTTGGTCGACTCTTGATAGTTTGTTCTTAGAAACAGAAATGAAGGATTTACAGCAGTGAGATTCTGGCAAGGTAGTAAGCAACAGTTACACCAGTATGACTTGTCTATCAATAAGCACATGAAAATATAAACTCTTTTCACTGGGAGCAACAGAAAGAGAATGAATTTACAGTAGGTAACAGTTAACAATGTCAAAATAAGACACATTCATTATGGCAAAAGCATAGCAGAGATTAAGGAAACCATTTAAGAGAAAAGAGAACAGGCTGTGGAAAGAGAATAAAACCAGATCAAAAGATCACATGTAGCTCAAGATACCAGCAAACTGAGGAAGAGAATAAAAATATCATGAGTGACTGATGGAGGAAAAGATTGTCTTGCACGTGCAGAAAAAAAAAACTGGAAATAGAGTATGAACTGTAGCACAGAGCTTCCTGTCAAAATTCCTTAGTAAGAAAAAACAGATCTGTGCAATACTGTAATCACATTTTCTCCCTGTTTTTACCTGTTGAATAGAAGGACCGAATTCCGCACAGCATTTATTAGCAGCAGCGTGAACACCCAGGGGCTGTTTACCTGTACTGTCAAGTGGTGGTAACGTTGGCTGCAAATCCTGATTGCAGAAATCAGTCCGACAGCACTCAATCGTTCGACGTAGTTGTGCTTTAGGTGAGTCCTGTTGGAGGGAGAATTGGATAAACACTCAGATTTTGAAGTGATCAGCTAGGACAGGGACAGGTGATGCTATGGATGGGTCACAGCCCAGACAGAAGTTTAAGCTATTTTATTTAAAAAACCCAGAACAGCTCAATCTCACCATTTAATGTATGAGAACTTCACAGTGCCAGACAGGCATCATCTAATCTCTTTGGGTACATACGTTCCATGTTCACTTTTTAAAAATTTATTTTTCAAGGAATTTTTTTTTTTTTTTACTTAAGTTGCTATTTCATACATTGCAAAATTTTTAAGCTTGGTCAAAAGCAGTTAATTGTGTGTTAAATAAATACTGCTCTTAAGACAAAAAAACCCAATCCCTTTTGAAGTTTTTCTCTTGGACTCATCATGGCAGCCCTGCTTGCTTCAAAAACATCTTCAAGAACAACATATAAGAGATGGCAGGGTACGACAAGTTAATCTGAAAGACACTGATATAAATACAAGAACAATTTTAGGAGATCATGACACCTCAGGTCTGACTTGCAGTAGCCCTAAACATTCACAGCTGTAACTGAAGCCAACAGTGCTTCCAAAAAGCAGCACTGCTGTCAGCTACATTATATAGAAACTCAAGTCCTAGAGATTTAAAATTAAATATCCAAAACAGCAACAGCATTTGGGGGGATGGGAGGGTGTGAAAGCAACCCAGCTGGTGATTACCTCTGAAAGCTTTCTTTAATGCAAGCACCGTGACAACAGAAAAAAAGCAGAATGCAGTTTTCCAAGGCAGTATTCACTTGCCCAGCTAGCACTGTATTCCTGCCTTCTAAACAATTCCTTGCTTTCGTAACAGATAAAGAAGTTCTGAAGGCAGCAATCTGCTTAATTATACCCCTTTAAAGCAAAAGTTATATTCCTGCAATTAACAATACATAGCACTTCTATAAAGGTAAAAAAAGTTGTTCATCAGACAGGAAGGCATATACATTTGATAAACTCTGTGTAAATGTTCATGAAACTTCAAGGGTGCTCTTGTGTACTCTGTGGAGACAACTCATTAATATGTTCTCCTGTCAAACGAACTGAAGAAAACAAGAAATTTCAAATTAAAACAACAAGAAAGCCTGCATTAAAACATAAGCTACTCAGGTCCATTAGGTTGATTATAAAGTTGTCTCTTCAACTAAGGAGACAGCTGACAGAAGTAGGAGGTTGATGTCCTCTGTTCATTTTGTCAGCGGCTTACAGATAGCGGCAGAGAACCCCACCAAGCTAGGATTCCAGCCCAGCCTTTGCCCAAACACCATTAAGTGTCCCTTCTGCACACCCACGACTGCTCCGTCCCTTTCTCCTCACTGGTAAATGCCGAGATGCAAAATTCTACAATTGCAGCTGTAAACAACAGAGATTTAAACTGCTTATGCAGTTCCCCTACATAATCTCCATGAAGATCTTAAATTTTAGTATCTTTTTTACCTTGCACTGGAAGTCTGAACCTTCATACTTCATGCAGCCAGAAGCAAGTGTGGGTTCCCCATGTTCATCTTCCTCAATGATAGCGAAGCAGTGCCCATTAGTTCTGGAATAAACACATCACTTGTGCTTTACCAGCTTGGTTGGTTTTTAATACGCAGCATTAGTTGACCACAAACCTATTAAGAACACTGGAATGGCAATATCTTGAAAAATTCTTCTTTAACACAGTGGTTACCGTACAGTTTGAGAACAAAAGAACCCCTCAATATTTTTAAATAGAACACTCTAGGGGTATTATTTTCCGAATATTCTGCCTTCTACTCCCTTACCCCCCCTTCAAGATTGCTCGTATGCAACCACACGTGCAGTTTTTTAGAAACAACTGAGGGGGTGGAAAAGCAGAGACCTTACTAGAAAAGCTTACTGACTACAATTTCATAGGTTAAAAAAAAAATAAATTTGCTTGTGACTATTCTTGACACTGCAATGATAAACTCTCCAAGAGAAGCCCCAATATGTGAAAGATGGTTATTTCAAGGTCAAAAGCTCAGTTACACTTTTCCCACACGGTCTCTCTCAAATACTCAGCCTTTGGGGCAAAACAAACCAACCCCCAAATCCACTTTCTGAAGCTGACAGTAACAAATTAATTACATTCTTTCAAAACTAATGGCACTTAAATTCCCCATTACCTCTTTATACAAATGCTTTTATTTCTACACTACATGAAAACATGAACAATATTTGTAAGGAACACCAGACCAATTTTCAATGGTAGGTCTGTGCTTTCAACTCCTGTAAAATTAAGATTTTTACTAAGTAAATCAAGACTCATTCACTCCCTCAACACAGATACAAAGGAAAACAAATCCAGAAGTATTTTTGTTTGCCAAAAATTTTAATCTAAATGAATGTAAAGAAATCTAGATTTGGGAAACAATTCCATAAAATACCCTGCACATGAACACTGCAGAAGTGTTAACTCTCTAACAACTTTATTATCACAATAATGATATATTCAGCCACCAGTTCAGAGGCAAAAAATTAATAACGCCTATACTGACTGCACACACCAGAGGGCGATAAAAAGCAAAAAATAAATACCAAGATGAAATACTGGATTGTAACTGAACATTTTCTAGGTGCAAAACTATGTAAAACACTACCTGTGTTTACTTTTAAAAAGATAGTTGTGTTTATTCCACCTCCTCGGGTTCCTCAAAATGGTTAATCTGCCAAGCGACAGCTTTAGAGAGGCTTATGACTCTGTGTTAAAGACTCAAATCACAGTAGCAAGTAATGTTTTCTATTATGTATCTTTATATTAATTCTTGAGAAAGAAAACAGAAGGGCCTTAAACACAGAACCGCGAATGAAGAGCAAACACAAGCACGACACGAATAACACAACATCTCAAGCGAGCACATAATCAGAACATGGGTCTGTAGGATTTGAGGCTTACCAAGCTAGAACTACCCTCCAGCCCCTCCATGTTCGGAGGCTCTTCTTTTTATCCCCCTGCCTTTCCCTCACACTCCACAACTAAGCAACATTTAACAAGAAGAATTCTCAGTGAGCGGCTATGTAGTATTACCTTTTGACTATCAGGTGAAGAAATATTCGACTAAGCCAGCAGGTGGCCATATCAGAAGGTTTAGATTTGGGGCATTTAATATTTACTCAGTCATAAACTGCTACAGGTTACCCAAAACCACAGCCCTTCGAAGCAGTTGCTGGGGGCAAAATGACCAGTTGCAAATGCTCCTAAGGTATGGTGAAAGCAGGACTGGGGGTTTTAGAGCTCAGCTGTCCACAGAACCAGGGAGTTTCTAATCAATTATAGTCAAGTCATCTGACAGAAGCTCAGTCAGCACTCTCAATCATTTGCTCTCTCATGAACAAAAACGAGCCTCTTCAAGGAGCCTCTTCTATCCTGTACGCAATACTTACATGCACGTGTTATTAATAGCATCATCTGGACAATGTCCTGAGCAGTAGCACTTAAGAAAAGGTAAGGTGTCCTCTGGAGCAAGTGTTACTCCATTTGCTTGTTTCTTTTGGTCAGGATTTGTCTTCATTCCTGTACCATGAAGCATGCTGTCTCGATTTTGACCTGGACGTTTAAAAAAAAAAAACCCAAAGAAAATATTTTTGCATCTCTCCGATAACTGTTCAAGAGCTTTACAGGCAAAACACAACAACAGGATAAATTTATTAACAAATAATTGAACGATACCAGACATAAGAACCTCCTTGGCCAAGATTATAGCAGAAATCTGAGTTAGTAATTTTATTGTAGAAATGCCTAGCTCAAATATGTTGCATCTTAACAGATCTTCCAACTGTAATCAATATAAAGAAAAAAAGGATATCTTCCCTTTCGGAGGTGGGGCAGAAAAGCAGTGATGTAACCGGTAAGAATTTTCTGAAGAAAGCCTTTCTCATTCATGTGTTCAGAAAACCAAAATGCCGACCGCTTGATAACCACTACAGTATAATTTTATGCATGACTGAATGTACTTAATATGCAATTTTCTAATTTTCTGAACTAATTTTTTATGGATTCAGAGTCTCATAGAAGAGTGGTAATAACTCTAAAATCTCTTGGGTTTTTTGATCTCTGTATGCATTAGTACTTCAAAACAGAGCTAAAGTAAATCTTGTTTGCAAATTAAATTTCAGTAAATGACATGAACATCCACACAAATGAGCTTTCACCGTATAAAAATAGGGCTAAATTATGTTTCAAGTAGCCCTCGATTTCTCAACAGGAGGAGAGTTGAGCATCATTTGTTCTGGTTCCTATTACTGAAGTGCTTTTGTGAACGTAGGCATTCAGAGGAAAAATTCCATCTGTTTTCTTAGTGAAGCACATGCAGTAAAGGCACATCCTCATTTGGAGCATGCTTTGTGACCACTATATGAGATGAGAACATCTTCATCCATCTCCTCCAGCTTTATCACATGTAATTTTACCACAGAAAAATCTTTTTCTGTCCATCCCTAACAATATTCTTGGCTCTAAATCCTTGAGGTGTGAACCAAATCGAGCAGGAAGAGTTGTAAAGACTATCACCTGCACAGACACGATGTACAGCAAGTGCCTCTGGGAGGCTCAGTGTGCAAGATAAGGTAACAGCCAGTTAGGATCCGCAGCAGCTTTACAAATTCAGTCATAATTTAAAAAGTGGAGGTACCTGGGTATCTCTCAAAAATATTTTAGTCACAACATCAATTTATCGGAGAATAAAAAAAAAAATACTTTGACCAGGAAACTCATGGTCTCTTAACAGATTGTTGTGGCTTCTCGTCAAACCCACTGAACACCAGCTGTAATGAGAACATCACTCATGTTGTACCTTGCTTGAAAGATGTGCAGAAAAATTAGATTAAAGCCCTGTGGAGATACCATAGTACCCTCTGTATCACTCTCGTAACATCCACTGTATCATCCAGCCAAATGTGCGATTATTTGTGAAATTTTACCCTACTTTTCTGAAAAAAGCAGACTCGCAATTTCCTTATCTGATTAATACAGCACACCCAGTGCATTGTTCCCATTTCAGCAATTTCCCTGAAATAACGAAACTGTGCCTCTTCCAGATACAACTGTGACTCTATCCTCAGTGCAGCACCATTTACCTAAACCCTCAAATCACTTAGCCACGTTGTATTTGAAATGTAGATTCCAAGCAGTACTTCAGCGATGCCCGAGTTAAATATTCCCCCATATGTTAACAGGAAAGAATGTCCAGTGCTAGAATAACAGAGTTCACCTGTGCAATAGGTATTTTGGATTTAACCAAAAGGAATTTTGCATGTATGAAATAGCAGCTCCTCCATCTGTCCTCTCTCTTTCTACAGATTTCCTCCCAGCGTAAGCTGAAAGCTCATTTTAATACTGTGCTACAGATGTTACACAACATTTTGTACTCCCATTTAAGAGGTCCTTAGGTGCTCAGAGAACAGGTAATTCTACTTAATATTTAAAGGGAAAGCCACTGCATATGTACAAATATTGTCTTCTAATTTTGTTGAACTGCTAAACTATCCTTCCTAATTAATGTTATAAAACCCCCTTTACCAGGGACATTCCATGTTAGAAGTCAGAATACTTTATCATCTATGTCTCACAGTCACTCATCCATCTTCCTACCCTGAGTGCTGAATGAAGCATTTTTCATTTCAAGAAAAAAAAAAAACCAACAAAAAACCCAGTACTCTGGTTATCCCCCACCCTCAGACCTTCACCTCTCAAACATTCACCCTGCTTGATCTTCCTTCTGGGAGCAGGACCAAGAAAGGAAAGATCACATTTTAGGGATCTTGTGACACTACACTGCATGACGATGTCACTAATGGCTTCTTTTCTGTGACACATGCAGTTGTCAGCTAAGAAACACAAACAAATCTTACATCATCTTCAAAGGTGTTCAGTGCTCTGCATTAGTACACACAGCTTCAAAAGGAAAAAGTTTGCTCTGAAATACAACGTCCAGAGATTTTGGATACGGCACAGCTGCTTTTTCCATTATTTCCTGTCCTCTACTGTGAACTGCACAGGGGTGGCAAAATAATATACCTGAGCAGCAAATGCACTGTCACACACTGGAGGACTTGTTCAGGAACCTGGATCAGCTTCAGCCTGTTTGTCCAGCCTTGAGAATGATATCATCATATAGAGCAGTTTGTATATTTAAAAGTGTAACGTGTATTTTACCACATTTCAACAGCTTGCAACATTCAATGAAACAGCAGTGTGATAGTGAGCTGGAACATTCTCTTCTCATGTAACCAGAGTGTAAGACAGTAAAGAGAAATAAGCCGATGGGACTTCACGTTCCTAGTTCATCATTTGCTCTCCCCCTTCACAACACTGTCTCATATATACTTCAGGAATTTTAAATTTCTAGAAGCGTCAACAACTGCTACAGATAAGACGACAAACAGTTTTCTGTATAAATGTTTTTAAAATAAAAAATAACAGTGTCTGCCAATGTATCATATCCAGCCCTTGATCAAAAAATATAAACTATTCAGAGAACTAGTAAGTCTAACTTACTAAAAAGTTAGAACTACAAAATGTATTTTAAAGCAGCACTGTATATTAAAAATCTCACTAGTTTAGAAGCATAAATCTACTTGAAAGCATGGCTTCAAATACCAATATTAATAGGGATAATCTTTAATGTGTGGCGGTGAAGTGGTATTAACCACTAAAAACTGAGTCTTCTGATCCAAGACGTGTGTAACCCACAGAAAAACAGCTTTAAGAAAGGCAGAGAGCAGTAAGTGAAAGACAATTATCCCTATAATTTCTTACTTAACTGTATCCCTCTACCTCCACAAATTGGACAGACAAGTTGCAATGCCACATCTCGTAGCCTACAGCATTCGAGTTGTTCAATAGCTTTCTGAATTCGTAATAGAGATGTTCCACATAAAAAACTTTTTTATTCCACAGTCCATTATCCTTAAAAGGGACTTATCCTAGCAGAACTACAGTACTGTCAGCATTTCTTTGTAGCTATTCTTATCCAAGCTTGTAAACCCCAATAAATTTAATATTTGAATAAAAAGCATCTTTGTCAGAAGACCACCTTCACCGGCAATCCTGCTGGGGCTAGCTAACACAGGCCTTGCCCACGCTGGGCTCTTTTCATTGAAGATGAAAGTTGTACCAAAGCTCTTTATGTTAGATATGCCTGCCTTATGAAAAAAAATTACGTGGTAGTTTAAAATTACTTCTTGCTTTAGGATGCAGACACTGCAAAACCATCCACTCCAACAAGGACATTTCACCTTTCTGCTGATCACAAGCTTTCATAATGATTCAACAGGTACTGCAATGGGAATTAAATCTTGTTACGCTGATACAGCTTGAGTAAAATACTAATATTTTTTCTTGAAACACAAAATAATTTGGAAAAAAAAAAAAATCAGAAAAAAATGTGAGTGCGAAGAAAGAATCTCCAATGCTTCTAGGAGCTCTGTGTCTGGCATTTTAACCATAATTCTCCTTAGAGTGCTTTTCTGTATATCAAGGCTGTGATCTCCAAAGACCAGGCATGTTAGAGGTAGCTCCACCTAGCAGAACTGGTTCCCAAAAATCACAGCACGTTCCCAGACTCCCGGTTTAAAATCCCCGTCCCACCCTCCAGCTCTCCCAGGAGCTACACCAGTGCTCAACACACAGGCAGCCCCTGCCCCTCTACCTTCCCGACCCGCGATCCCCAGCCTCTGCTTCCACTTCCCTTCCTGAAAAAGTCACTTCTGAAGACTACACTCTGTCCTTATGGATTCAATATGAAAAGCCAGAAAATTTTACATGTATTTTACTGTTAAATGAAAAAAAAATACACTGCATTCTTAATTAAATTAAGCAGACTTTTGAGGAATAAAGTTACTTAAAACTGAATGTGAAATTATAATAAATATATCACCCTTTAATAATCCATTAAAATAACTTTAATCAGTCAAATTAACAGTACATGTTCGCTGCCCGTGTTTTAAAGCTGATACTGTCATTAATTGGGGAAATCACTGGTAAACAGAACTACACTATCCTCAAAGCAACAGATCAGCTTCTGAAAACTCTAAATTCCTTCTGCAGATTTTATTAAACTTTCTTGATTTCAGATTAGTTAATATGTTTAAATTTAGTAACTATTTCACCTGAAATGAAGAAATTATATAGAAGTTTAAAAAAGTAATATCCTTTTCTATAGCAAATCTTTGAATAAAAGTTTAGGTACAATAGTGAAATCAAATATCAATAGATTTTTTTTCACTAATGGACACTTTAATAAAGTCCATTTTAGTATCTAATATTAACACTAATTATTCTAAAATTTAACTTTTAATAACCTTTCTTCATACAGATTGAATGCTATTAATACATTTTTAGTCAACTAATTCATCATAATGTGTCTTTTCTACCTCCATTGGTTCCTTTATGATGCATTTTTGTAACGTCCTGCGAAAGTTTTCCTTGTTGAAACTATTTTTTTCCACTTTCAATTTCCACTTTTTAAGACTTTTCACTTTAGATTTCCTCTTTCCTATAAAAATTTCAAATACTCGATGACAATCAACTTTAATCTTTCTGTCCCTAAAGCACAACTCCTCTATGAACATAGGGACTAGCAGAAAGACTTGACTGTTTTTCTACTCACCACCCCTAGAAACCCAGCATATTTCCTATGTTTGAAGATAAGCCCTTAGGCAACGTGCATCAAAGAACCAACAACATTTCAGCAAGCTCGACTTTCCCATGGCTCTCAAAACTCGCTCAGTATTGATTTGGAAGTCGAAAATACTACTGAGACAAGGCAATTTCTTCTTTAGAGGCTGAAAAAAATTTTCACACAGTCTTTCAACTTAATTTAGCTATATTGTTGATTAGAAGCTATTTATTGAAGCATTATTAATAAACGTGACCATGGAAGGAGTTGTAATTTAATTTGTATTTAAGAGAGAAAAAAATTGTTCCTTCAGTTGCTATTGCCTTTGAGTAAAATGCTGAATATTAACTAATGCCAAGGGATAAGCAAGACTTCAGTAAAAAGCACATCACTCCCAAACACTTCAAGGGAAGAAGCTGGTATCTTCTGCAAGAAGCAGCAAAACTGCTTGAATAATGGTAGAACAAGCTCCTCTGCAAACTGCTGCATCTGCAGGTGAAGTGGGAGAGACCTCTAGAAGTCACTGGTACCACCACCTGGGTCAAAGCAGGACCAACTTCTAAGTCAGACCCGGTTGTTCTGAGACATTCTGTTAAAGTTTTGACTGTCTCTGAGGATGAATATTACACCACCTCTCCAGAGAGCCTGTTCTAATGCTTAACCACGTTCACAGTGAAAATTTCCTTGCTAATTTCTCACTGAAATGTCCTTTATTGTGATTTGTGTCTGTTACCAATCTAACCATCTTACAGCTATCCGTAAATATTTGTAAATCTGTCCTATAAACTTCAACTATACCCAAAGGAAGCTATTTCTGTCTAAGTAGATTGAGCTATTGCTTGCCAATTAAATATTGGATATCCACAACAGGGAAAAGGACTGGCCTTGAGAATTTCCCTCTCCCAGCTTCACTAATGTAACAAAGAAGGAATAATCCTGGATTTAAGGCAAAGCTTCAAACTGAGACCCATGATCTTCCCCACTCCTGAAACGTGTGTGCATGCATACGTACACGCACACAGAGTGAATCCAGCCAAACATCAGTGCTTAAAGCACCTACCTAGAAGTTAGGAGACAATATTCTGAGTCCCTGCAGGCTAAAAAGATGAAAGTGCTCAAATAGCTTGGTAATGATACAGGAACACTTGTCCAGTTTTGGAAGAAGTGTTTACAATTCTGTAGATTGTACTCAACGATACAGAAGCCTTCGGTGTGCTCATGGTGGCCTCCTGGGCTGAACTCCGCAGGAACCTCAAGAGGAAGAATGGCAGTTTTAAATATCTTTAACAAAGCGCAATTCTGCACAGATCCAGAGAAGACTTCTGTTCTGTAAAAGCCTAGCTGTGAATATGTGTGTGGGATGGAACTCGAAAGAGCTTGAAGATGATCCTCTTTACACTGAGGCACTACTCGTTTAATTCAGGTTTTAGTGTAGTTGACAGCTCATCCCCAGTCAATTCCAGGGAAATAACCTTCACTGGAATTTATTTTACTGCTTAATAAGGGTTTGGGTTATGCTTAAGTGTACAGTCTTATGCTCGGATTCCCCTCACCCAGGACAGAAGCTGCAGCAGTTCCCAAACACACCCTGGCACTTGGTTAGAAGAGGATAAATACCAGCACATGGGAAGAGGCAGGATCAAGTGGCTTGGAAGGGACAGGCCCATTACACATTTGATGGAAATCTGCTCTTAAAATCAGTTGTCAAGCTACGTATCAAGCATAGTCCTGGTAAAGACATCTCTGCTAAATCCCTTAATCTAATATTGCAGGTACATACCAGAAACAGAACATAAAGATTGTCATTTGGGTACTTACCAGGCTTCCTTCTCTCCCCATTTTAATGGGTTCATTGAATTGCTATTCTTGACAGTAAATAACTCAAAGAATATCTCAAAATAAAATCAAGCACTAAGCAGTCATTGGTAGAAGTACAGAAAGAGAATATAAAACCTTTTACATTCCCAGTATTGAAATGGCAGTACCAAATTAGTCTTGCCTACTTCCCCCGAAGCATATGGAAAGCTCTGGGTACTCAAGCATGAGAGGTGCACAGCTGGGAGAACAAGAAATCTTACACAGAGACCAACTACGGATGTACATGCTTGACAGACATGAATAGCACTACTGTTCACGTCCCGAACATGAGAACGCAATACCACTAACAGCTCAGACACCACTCTGCTATTCCGACACTTCCCTGAACTCCAAGCAGTTACAGAATCACACCTGCCAGGTACAGCTGCTAATAAGGAGTAAGGAAGTAATAACAGAATGGATTTTCTCACAAACTAGTTATAATCTTTATATTTAAGCTTCAATTTCTAATAGAGCATGAGGCAATCACATTGGTTGGTTCCAATACTTTTCTTTCTAATTCCACCCAACTTGACAGAGGAGTTCAAGTCCTAAAGGCAACTGGATTGCCAGAAGTTTTTGATTAAGTGGTGGCTGGAAAGACAACAGACTACAAACAAGTCTCTTCACTAACTAAAAACCAGGCTATTATGAACATCCCATAGCCTCACCTCAGGCCATTGAGTAGGTGTATCAAGTGTATTCAGATTAGATACACCTCACTATCTCTTGGCTAGTTCAGAAAGCATGGGGAACCGCACACTGCCATTCCTTCAGTGGGTCAAGTTTAAAGGGATCAAAGATGCACACATACAGGAAACTGAAATTCAGAAAGTCAAACCTCTATTGTCTCTATTTAAGCATTTGCTAAAAGAGACCTAATCTCTAATCTACAACAACATGATTGCTGTAACATCCTTCTTTTTAAGGAAGTGTCTATGTCCGGCAGATAAGCCACCTGCCTGCAAAAGAACAAAAAACTCCCAAACCCCAAATGAAAAAAAACCTCTATTCCAGCCACTGGAATACACAGGACTTAGTTATGGATGAAAAATAGAAACTTATTTCCACTAGTACATATTTACCTTGAACATGGAGGATGATAAGCAGAGAGGCTCCAAGCAATCGCTCATAAACTCTCAATCGAGTCATTGTTCACTTTTAATACTTCCTGAGCAAGGCGGCTGGCCCTTCTGCTTGACAAATGTTAAGCTTTTGATGAAGCCTAATACAAGATTTGGTGTTTGACTGCGAAGATGCTTTTGTAACTTTTCCAACCTCGTTTCCTGAAAGACACAGTAAAACAAAGTGTTATAAGAAACTCCTTGCATTTCTGAAATAAGAAAAAGCCTTCAAGATTTTTCATCACACTGATCATAACCACATGGCTTAAAAAATATATGTATTTAAATTGCAGATGTTTATTAAAATTAATAACTGAAAACCTTAGCCATATTTACTATCCAACTGAATAGCAGGCTGCTTCTGAAATGCACCCATGGGAATGTTTTCACACTCCTATCAAAACTATTAAGTATGTTAACTCACTAGTCACAGCCATGTCTTTTAGACTCTCATATGTAATATGCAACAGATTAACAAGTAAATATGTTTTAAAACTATTTTTTTACAGAAATTTAAATCTAGAACTTCTTTTCTTAAAAACGCAACTCAGGGGTGACTTTCCATAATATTGAGAGAAAAAAAGCAATACCATGTTGAGCCACCAGTCGAAAAACGCTTGCAGAGAAGCTTTATTGCACTAAAACCCCAGCTTCTCTGCTGGATGAAAGCGAAATTTGTATTAAAATAGCTTAGTTACCTAATTACAATGTTACTTTTGTCTTCTAGAAAAAAAAAAAGCACACGATCTCATTTAACATTTGAATGAACAAATTAATTTCTCATTTAGCATCAACTATATTCCTCCAGTCCCTCTTCCTGTAGATCACTATGTTATATGGTGTTTTCTGGAGGAAAAAAAAAAAAAGTTAGCTCAGTTCACACCACCAATGAACTTTTATTGTTAATCTCTGTTAACTCCAATTCAAAATCCCGATGTCCTGAATTCCCAAGTTTTGTGCAAATTAGTCCCTCCTAAAAAATTATGCTACTATATGCACACGCCATTTGCTCCAAAAATAAAATAAAATCTACTTATCCAACGTATGAGCGCGTAGCTAAGACAGCCAAACTGAACAAGACGATACTTTTTCAGGCCGCAGCGGTTGTGGTCACGTTCTGCTTAACGAACTTTCCCCAGCTATTCACGAGGGACGCCTAATTGGGCCTCAAAGGACTAAAAAGCAGCTCGAACACCTAAATAGTTAATCGCGACAAAGGCGACGTTGCACAGGGCTGAACAGAGCCCTGATTTTGCCTTTCCTCGGCCTCTTGTTTCGGTGGGCCTGACCCCCTGACCCCTGTCAGCCTGGCGCTGCTCATGAATGCCCGAAGCGGCGTTCGCTCGGGGACGGGCTGCAATTACTGTTGGTGGCCGCTTCCACCATCAATAACTCAATCTGTCTGTTGGTGAGACCCGAGAACTTTTCATTTTAATTAGTGCTTCGGAGGCATTTAACATGGAGGCAAATTAGCGGCCAAGCCGGGAGGTGTCCGTCGCTCCCAATCCCGGCAGGCCCGGGGCAGGCTGCCCCGACCCCTGGCCTACTTTTCACACGTCTCTGACTTCTCGGTAATGAAGCGACAAAGCCCCTCGGCACCAGAGGAAGGCGGGGGCTCACCCGGGGCCTGGCACCTCCCGCCCGCGGGCAACGCTCCCCAAGGCTGCGCTGGCCCGGCCTTTGCCATGCTTGCTGCCCGGTGACGGGCGGGATGGACGCAGAACGCTGCGGACAACCCAAGCACTAGTAACTTCAAAATATGGTGACAAAAATATTCCCTCTCTTTATGTTTCCTAAGCACAAGAAACAGGGCCAGTTCTGACAGCTGGCAGGGAACATCCTCCCGGCGATAACAACATCAGGACAGCCACACATCTAAGTGTTACTCTTGCTTTATTTGTGCTTCAACTGCGACAAACTTCAATCCTCAATAAAACGTGGAAGATGAAAACTGCTAACAGCTTGTATGTAGTAAAACAAGACTTTATTTACAGTATTATTTTTGCAGTCCATCAAAGAAAACCCTCCATTAATAGTCTGTTTAAAGTATATTCAAAAATCATTTCTGTCTGTCTTCATGCAAGTTTCAGTGAGGACTAGATATCCTCAGTCTCACTCTTCCACGTTTCGAAAGGAGTGTTTTGAACTGTCAAAAAATTGGTGGTCATGCTCCCCAGTTCAATTACGTTAAAGAGAACACTGGCATGTGCAACGTGTATTTACCCCTGCACTACACAGTACGTTACCAGAAAAATCAAGAAGAAAGGGGAAAACCCCCACATTTTCATGCAATTCACCTGCTATTTTGTGGTGATTTTTGTTCAGTGAAACAATCTAATGTAGCTTTCAAAAATGTTGTCCAAGCCTATCCAAGAATATAACCCTCTCCACTTTGAACCAGTATTTTGTACCTGAATCTTCCTTTCATGAATATTTTACTTTTAACAAATATATATAAAAATGTAAACAAAAATGTATATAAAAACATGTCATAAATTGACACTGAGAACAAGTTCTGCTCCAATTCCTCATTTTAAAATTATTCTACTTTGAGAATGCTTATCAACACGTAAAACACTCCCCCAACAATAGAAAGTAAAACCCCGCTAGGCTGCACTTCCAGTCTCTTCCTCTGAAATGCACATACGATGCCTTAATCTTCCTGCCGCTGCGTGTCAGTGGCCAGTTGAGCCTTGGACAGGAAAGCCCCCGAGCTGGCCGCAAGGCCTGCCCAGACCAGCACTGCTGAGCCCTGCTGCACCCACGGCACCATCTCAGCGTTGGGCAGTGGGCTCAGGGCACCGGTGCAAAACTCGTGACTTCCAGTAACGCACCGGTGCAAAACTCGTGACTTCCAGTAACGCACCGGTGCAAAACTAGCGACTTCCAGTAACGCACCGGTGCAAAACTAGCGACTTCCAGTAACGCGTCTCAATAGGAACTATGTGAGCTGCACTGGGGACACATCCCCTGTTATACCACCCACATGACAGAAGCATCAAAGCTGTGTCAAAAACATGATGTAGATTCACTGAGGCAGTTTTTTCAGTCACCACAGTAAAATTCAACAGAGCTTTCCTGCCACAACTGTCAGAAGAGATTTCAGGCTTTTTTTTTTAACCCATCATTTAAATTGTTCTTCCTTTTACTCATGTACATTCCGGAGCTAAACAAACTAAGACAATTAGTTCTCACAGACTACATTGCTATTTTGCAGAAAGGGAAACTTCGAAAACATTTAGTTCTTAAAAATCACCGGGCACCCCGATATAGCTGTGTAGTTTAAAAAAAAAAAAAAAAGTTTTCAAAACCAGACTAGCTCTTCTAATGCTTCTAACAAATGCCACACCCTAAAACAACATAGTTATGACCTTTGTATGAGAATACTTCACTAAAAAAAAACCCCAAAAACCAAAAAACAAACACCACAACAACAAAAAATACATTCGACAAAATTGAAGAGGCTGCACCTCTTCGGAGCCCTTTCTGGATTCCCACTGTAGAGGAAGACTGACGGGCTGTTAAGGCACTCTATCTACACTGAGCAGCAGCTGGAATTTCTCCAAAACCTGCCTGATATTAACAGTGTAGAATGACATGACTAAATGACGTACTTCAAATGTGTTAAAGCACCAGTTAACACCTGGAATGCTACTCCACCAACAGCATGGTGAAGAAAGTCAAACCCTTAAGCCAACCAGTTGATTTCAAAGTCCTCAATCTCTTTTTTTTTTTTTTTCTATTGTGGCCATGAAGAAGCATACTAGCATCATCTGCTAAAAAGAAATTTATTCATCAATCGTAACACCCTATTTGTCTACAGTGTAGTTTATTATCCTTCCTAAAAATAGTTTATTGATGAAAATGCTTTTGTTAAAGCTGTGGGTTTTTTTTTTTTTCCTCAACTGGAATTCTGCTGTGAATTCATGGCACTATCACGGCAGTCTACCCCTACACTCTGTATGACTCCAAATATATGAAGCTAAAGCGTGCAAGATTTGTCATATGGTCCAAAACGATTCTGAAAGAAGGGAGTTCCCTAGTAACTGTTCTTCAGATGTGGCTCTGTAATATTTTTAACAGCATGATCCCCAAACCAAATGAGCTGCACTGTCCCAAATTTCAGTATGGAATGATAGTGCTGAACGTATCAGAGGCAGTATAGTAAAAGGGGAACATACAAAATAAGAACCATCAATCTCAGACTTGAGAGGAATTAGAAATTAAATCCATTTCAACAGACAAGATTTTCAAAACATTTTAGCTGTACGTACAATAAAAACTAAAATATTTGCCAAAGCAAAACTGAAAAATATTAAATGTTTCTCCTATGCATAATGGGGGCAAGAAGTGACTCCGGTAACCATAAGCATACTAACTCAACCACACGTTCAGTTTTGAACACAAATTTGAGGTGCAACAGAATACCAGAGATAAATTGGGCTGTCAGCCTAAGCCAGTATACAACAACTTTCAGAGCTTAAAAAACCCTGATATGATGCCACAAAAAGCGATTAATTTGGATGAAGAAAAGAAGGATTGTAAGAACAGTAAAGAATTCCCTACAAGGCAGATGACAAGTAGTTTCAAGAACAAAGATTACTAGTGTGGTTCAAATGACATTCTAGGACTTTGATTCTTGAATCAGCTTGATTCAAGAATACTTACCCTTTTCACTAATGAACTAAGCACAAGAAGTAAAACTTTGATAAACCTTGCAGACAAACATGAATTGTCAATTCAGTTGAGTGTTGTTGTTATGCAGGAAGATTTGGATCACATGAAGAACTGAAGTAACAGAAACGGAATTAAATATAACAGCATGAAATTGGGAAAGTTACGTGTATTGGGAAGTCTGAAGGATTTCTGCCTCACAGAAACTAGTTCATGCACAGGAGACAGCTACGCCCAAGGACTCAAGTATGTGAACTGATGACAGAACGTCAGACACTTCTACGTGATGCTGCTGGGAGAAAGAGACAACCCAACTCTAGGATTTCCTAGGAGGTTTCCCAGGGAAATGGTAAAACACGGGTAGCACAGAGACAACGTGACTGATAAATTCAATGTATGACTAGAAGGACGGATAATGCTACCTGGAGAATAGGAAAGCCCTATTGATGAAGATGAAAAGAAAGAAAAAAAATCAATACGGTGAAAGT